GAATCTCACATGGCCCCAATTCAAGGAGATGCTGAGAGAGAAGTACTACCCGGATTATTATCGGATAGAGATGGAGCACCAGTTCTTGGCGTTAGTCCAGGGCAACAAGTCAGTGGATGAGTATGAGAGAGAGTTCACTCGTCTTGGGTCTTTCGTTTCCTACTTAGTGGATACGGAGGCAAAGAGGGCGAGGCATTTTTGTGATGGACTACTGCCATCGGTCCGTCACCACCTAGCTGGACATAGCATCCAGACCTATGTTGATATTGTTGCTCGAGCGCAGGAGATCGATGCTAGTTTCAGGAGGGGTAGTGCTCAGGTCCAGGTGCAGCCACCAGCTCAGTTTCCTGCATTCCCACCAGCTCAGCCAGCGCCTGTTCAGCAGGCCAAGAAGAACAAGAGGAAGTGGAAAGGCCCACAGAATGATCAGAAGAATAGGCAGAAGCAGCCCGGTGCGGCTAACCAGCCACGGTTTCCAGCTTGTGGCACCTGTGGACGTTCTCATCCAGGAGAGTGTCTAGCCATCCAGAAAATTTGCTTTTCACTGTCGCAGGCCTGGACATGCCATCCGGAACTGTCAAGATAGGATGCAGCAGCAGCAGCAGCACCGACAGCAGCCGCAGCAGCAGAGGCGAGCAGGACAGAAAGCTCAGGTTTACGCGCTGGAGCAGGCAGAGGCAGAGTAGCACCCAGGTGTTCGGATGATTATCTTGAATGATGTGCCTATTTTTGCGTTGTTCGACACCGGGGCGACGCACTCGTTTGTGTCAACCAGATGTTTAGAGGCCATTGGAGTTCAACCCACCGCACTGTTGACTCTCTTGAGGTGAGCCTAGCCTCAGGAAAGAAGATAGTGACGAGCTTCAAGGTAGAGAACCTCAGTCTTAGCATTGGTGGCAGAATCTTGGTGGTCAGCGCGTATGTTATCGAGATGAAGGACTTTGACCTCATATTCGGTATGGATTTGCTAATGCGTTATCCTGTCGATATTCGTTGTCACGACCGGGAGGTAATTCTTCATCTTCCAGAGGATAGTCAAATTTCTTTCTATGGCTCGAAGACGCGAACCTTGCCTCGTGTGATTTCCATGGCGAAAGCAAGAAAGATCCTAAGAAGGGAAGAGTGCCAGGGTTACTTGGTGAGCATTGTCGAGGAAGATTCGAGAGCACAGACACCTCATGACATTCCAGTTGTTCGTGAGTTCGTGGATGTGTTCCCGGACCAATTACCCGGAGGACCACCCAGCAGACAAGTGGAGTTCACCACCGATCTTGTGCCAGGAGCAGCACCGGTGTCCAAAGCTCCGTACAGAATGGCACCGAAGGAGTTGCAGGAGCTGAAGACTTAAATCCAGGAGTTGTTGAAACTCGGTTTCATCCGACCGAGTGTTTTACCTTGGGGAGCACCCGTGTTATTCGTTAAGAAGAAGGACGGATCCATGAGAATGTGCATCGATTACCGGGATTTAAACCGGTTAACGGTGAAGAATAAGTATCCGCTCCCAAGGATAGATGATCTGTTCGACCAGCTGAGAGGAGCTTGCGTATTTTCCAAGATTGATTTATGCTCAGGCAATCATCAGCCCAAGATTAAGGAGTCTGATGTAGCCAAGACTGCGTCTCGGATGAGATACGGACATTACGAGTTTGTGGTCATGCCGTTCAGTCTGAGCAATGCACCAGCGGTGTTCATGGACTTGATGAACCGTGTCTTCCACCAGTACTTGGACCGATTTGTTATTGTGTTTATTATGACATTTTGGTCTATTCCAAAAGTCTTGAGGAGCATGAGCAGCATTTGAGGGTTGTTCTCGGGACCCTTAGACGAGAGAAGCTCTATGCAAGTTCTCCAAATGTGAATTTTGGCTGAAGAGAGTGGCATTTTTAGGCCACATTATCACCGAGAGAGGCATAGAGGTAGATCCAGCCAAGATTGCCGCAGTACGGAACTGGTCAGTGCCCAAGAATCCGACCGAGGTCCGTAGTTTCCTCAGATTAGCTAGGTATTATTGCAGATTTATTGAGGGGTTCTCAAAGATTGCCCTCCCTTTGTCCAAGCTGACGAGGAAATCTGTGAAGTTTGAGTGGACGAGTCGTTGTGAGGAGAGCTTCCAGGAGCTCAAGAAGAGGCTTACGACGGCTCCAGTGCTGACTATTCCGGATCCTACTCGAGGTTTTACCATCTTTAGTGATGCTTCGAAGCAGGTTATTGGGTGTGTACTTATGCAAGATGGCCATGTTGTTGCTTATGCCTCGCGACAGCTGAAGCCACACGAGCAGAATTATCCGACTCATGATCTAGAGTTGGCAGCCATTGTGCACGCACTCAAGATTTGGCGGCATTATTTCTATAGTGGTCAGTGTGATATCATCACTGATCACAAGAGTTTATAGTATATCCTCACCCAGAAGGAGCTCAGCATGCGCCAAAGAAGATGGTTAGAGCTTGTGAAGGATTATGACTTCACTATTCAGTATCATCCGGGAAAGGCGAACGTTGTTGCAGACGCCCTCAGCCGAAAGGTGAGGGGTGAGTTGTCCTGTTGCATCACTCAACAGAAACAACTCATCAGAGAGTTTGCCCAGATGCAGATTGAGGTCGTGGAGTCACTTCCCTAGGAGATTTCGGGAAGTATTAGCTCGATGCGAGTTCAGCCAACGCTGAGAGATAGAATCCGGCGGGAGCAGTCGCATGATCAGTTCATTCTTGCTATAGAAGCAAAAGTTCATGCCGGAGGAGTAGAGGGCTTTTACCGAGGCACCGATGGAGCCTTGGAGTTCAGGGGAAGGATTGTTGTGCCAAAAGTCGAGGCCTTATGCAAGGAGATCTTGACTGAGGCCACAGTGCACCCTATTTGGCTCACCCCGGAAGCACCAAATGTACCACGACTTGAAAAGGTCGTTCTGGTGGCGGGGGATGAAGAGAGATGTAGCAGACTTTGTGAAGAAGTGTTTGGTCTGTCAGCAAGTTAAGGCCGAGCACAAGAGCCCATTAGGTTTGCTGCAACCGCTTGAGATTCCTAGTTGGAAGTGGGAAGAGGTTACCATGGACTTTGTTACAAGGCTGCCTAAGTCGTCCGAGCAGCACGATGCAATCTGGGTAGTAGTGGACAGGTTGACGAAATTCGCACACTTTTTACCTGTGACGATGACCATGACGATGGAAAAGTTAGCCGAGATATATACGCGTGGGATCATTCGACTCCATAGTGTGCCTGTTACGATCATATCAGATCGAGATCCCAGATTCACCAGCAGATCCTGGGAGAGTTTGCATGAGGCAATGGGCACACAGTTAAAGTTCAGTTCAGCTTACCATCCAGAGACAGACGGCCAGTCAGAAAAGACGATCCAGAAGCTCGAAGATATACTCCGAGCTTGTATTCTGGACAGAGGTGCTATGTGGGAGAAGTGGTTGCCGTTAGTTGAGTTGGACTATAACAACAGTTATCAGGCGCCAATCCAGATGGCTCCCTATGAAGCACTTTATGGCCGCAAGTGTCGTTCCCACCTTTATTGGGACGATGTTGGAGAGCGACGAGTACTCGGTCCTAAGATGATCGAGGAGACAGTCGAGTAGGTAGCCTTGATCAGGGAAAAGCTCAGGACAGCTCAAAGTCGGCAAAAGTCCTCAGCCGACAAGCATAGACAAGAGATGCAGTTTCAGCCATGAGATAAAGTCTTCCTGAAAGTTCGACCATTGCGAGGTGTCGTTCGTTTCGGGAAGAAAGGAAAGTTGAACCCTCGTTATATAGGTCCGTTCGAGGTTCTCGAGCGAGTGGGCGAAGTTTCCTATCGATTAGCCTTGCCTCCCGAGTTGGTTAGTGTGCACAACGTCTTTCACGTATCGATGTTGCGCAAATTCTGATAATGTGCTTCAGCACAATGAGCTTCAGATTCAGCCAGACTTAACTTACGAGGAACAGCCGGTAGCAATCTTGGACCGGAAGGTTCATCATAAGCAAAAACAATTAAACTTACTCTTGTCTGTGGAGGAGCAGCTTCATTGGGGCAAGTCCTGATGTTATGCCCAATTTTCTTGCATTTTTGGCAAGTCATTTGTAGTCCAAATCTCCTCAGCTTAGTGTCACTCTTGGCCTCTTCTTCAGGAGCTTTTCTCCCTTTTATTTTAGGTCTACCAGGCATCTTTCTAAATGGAGGTGGCTTCACAGTGGACCCAGATGCTTCAGGCCACATTTTAGGCCCATTTAATGGTTAAAGACTAAAAGAGTATGCTTTCAAATTTCTTTCTACACTGAAGTATGGGCTGACAAAGTCCACTACATCCCTCTTCATGTACTGAATTGCAGAACAAGCATGGATACATGGTATACCAGATATATCCCAGCTTCTACAACTACATGTCATGCACTTCAAATCAACCACAAACTGATCATCTGATATGGCAACTTAAAATTTTTCACCCACTGCAGGTTTTGTCACGCACAACCTACTTCTCAACTTATTTTCCTCAATTTTTTTTCCTTATCCTAGGACATATTGTGTCATTCAGTCCACTAGTCAACATTAGTTTGTGATGCTGCCTTTCCATTACATAAGTTCTAATACTCTCAAGCATTTCAACAATAGGTTTTCTTCTTGCCTTCACTATGGTACTGTTGAAAGTTTCACATACATTATTAAGTATCATATCACATTTTGGATTCTCAAGGATAAAGGCTTTACAGAACCTGAAATTTTCCATGCCCATGAAATCATCATAAGCCTCCTTAGCCACTGCCTTCATCCCTTCAAGTGCTTCCTTATATGCTGCCTTGTGTGTGCTATGCACTACCCTCCAAAAACAACTCTTCAGTGTACTTCCTTTGTGTGATTTCTTCCAATTCATGTACACATGTCGTGCACAATTTCTATGTTCTGCATGTGGTGAGAGGTCCCTTATAGCAGCAATGAGTCCCTACATAATGAGACAAGTCAGAACATATATTAAAGATAAGCCAAACAACCAAATATATTAGTGCACATATTGAAAGAACTAACCTTTTGCTGATCACTGATAAATGTCCATCCAAGTACATCTGATATCCCCAAATCTTGAAAAAGTATGTCTAGAAACCATTTCCCATTGCTCTCATTCTCAGAATCCACAACTGCCCATGCCAAAGGAAATATCTGGTTGTTCCCATCCTTGCCAACAGCACACAATAATACACCTCCTAAGAAGGTCTTCAAGAAAGCCCCATCAAGGCCAATAATTGGCCTACAGCCTTGCAAGAAACCTTGTCTTAGTGCACTAAAACCAACATAAAAACATTTGAATACACTGCCACTCTTCAATTTCAGCTGAAATATGCCATTTCTATCAACCCTTTGAAGCTCTGCAATGTACCTCCTAAGTTTTCCATAGTGCTCCTCCTCTGTACCTCTAAGCAGTTTAAGAGCCTTAGTTTTTGCTTTGTACAGTTTCTTCCTAGAGGGTTGCACACCATATTTTTCACTGATAGAATCCTCTAAGTCAAAAATTTTCATCTTAGGCTTCTTTCTAATCATAGGTAGATATTCCCCAGCAACCCAAGAATCAGTTGCTTGTTTAGTGTTCAAATCCCTATGGCAGCTGTGGCTACTAACAAAGGTCTTCACAGCCACACTACCTTCACCTTTTATCAGACTAGCATAAAGCCTCCATGGACAACCAACTTCACACCTAGCTTCAATCTGACATGAACTACTTCTGACAAAACTTATGTTGCAGCCATTATAAATTGCATAATTCTGAACTGCCTTCCTACATTGCCCAATGGTTTCAAATCTCATCCCAAGCTGAAATTGGAAGGTCAGCAGATCTCCTTTTCCATCATAAACTATTTTTTCCTTCTTGCTTCATCATCATCATCACCAAGACCCTCACCACTAGATGAATCAGTGTTGACATTCCCTTCAGAATCTTCATATTCTGACTCATTATCTCTTGCAGGTATATTGTTGTCATCAGCCTCATGATGTGAAGATGGTTATGCAAATGACATGTTTGCATCTCCATCATCTGTTGACTGTCTGGAGTTCAAAGCTTCTCTCCTTGCCTGAAGATACTCCTCATCATATGTCCCTAAATCTTCATCAGACAAACCATCATTACTTGAAGATTCACCAGATGGTTCATACTCCTCATCCTCACTTTCATCTAAAGAAAACTCACCCAGCTTTTCACTAGTATCCTTTACTTGGTGTACTTCAGCAAGTTCAGATACCCTATTCCTATTTGACTTTTCTTGTTGACAAACAGCAGCAACTTCAGGTACCCTATTCCTATTTGACTTTTCTTGTTGACAAGCAGCAGCAACTTCAGGTACCCTATTCCTATTTGACTTTTCTTGCTGTGTTGACAAACAGCAGCAACTTCAGGTACCCTTTTCCTATTTGACTTTTCTTGTTGACAAACAGAAACCACAGACGGTTTGTTCAGTTGTTCAGTTTGCACAAATATTTCAACATATCTTCTGTTTCTCTGCATTTGACCCAAACATGTCATAACACCAGCATCATCTTTTATATCCTGAAACTCATGTGTTGTCCGATGCTTATAAAATATTCTACCCCAGTTTTCATATCCCAGCTTCTTTATTTGATCTTCGATGTCAAAATAACCTAGCCTATCTGCATCCAACCCAGTAACCGTGGCAACACAATCACCATAATAATACTCATGCCCTTCGAGAGTGACAAATCTACCCTTGTGATTGATGAATAACATATAGAAATCACTGCAAATTCAAAAAATCGAAAATTTTTACCAAATCGAACCCTAAAAAACTAAAATCAATTGAACATTTCAACTCTGAAAAGGCATTTACCTTGCGACCTTGATGTTAACAAGTTCTTGTGTATGCTCACGATAATCGTCACGAACATATGGAAGACACACCCTTGTAATTTTGGAGCAAATAAAAAACCTAGGGTTTGGAAATGAAAAATTGGGAAGGGGATTTGGGGAAAATGAACGATTGTGGTGAATTTGGGGAAGAATCGTCTTTTATACTAAGGTTATTGCCACCTGGACGCTGTCTCGGACGCCCGTTTGGTGTTTCCGTCAAGTTAAATTGCCACATCGCACTTCTGTTGACGGCAGTTAGAAGTATGTATCGGGTTGCCAAAATTGTAAAGGTCATGTATATTTCTGACAAGGTTTGAAGGTCGTGATTAAATTGCCAAACGCGTAAAGGCCGTGTTAATTCCCGCCATTTTTCCTTTAAAAAAATAAATGGACCGGGATTAATTTCTGAACTGGATCGATTGCTGAATAGAATTTAACCGAGAATACTTTCGACTTAAAGTCGAATTTGAAATGAGTAGCTTAATAACTGGGCTCAGAACTAGAAATGAGCATTATTAATAAAAGTAAAATAGTTCAAACTCGGAACTAAAAATATCACTTTTATTAATAACAGAACAGGCTATTACAATCTACCTCTCTTAAAATTATTTCCGTCCTCGGAAATACTAGAACTGAAAATATATACAACTATATACAAAATCAGAACTGAAAATCTGGAAACGAGCCCTAATATCAGCTTCGCGCTCCCACATGGCATATGAATCTCCGTGGCGATTCCACCTGATACGAACGAGGGAAATATCTCGCATCCTTATTAACTTTTATAATGCATTCTGTTCATATCCTTGTTGATAAATTGTAGAAAAAGAGAGGGAGACCAAGTACAAGAGAGCAACATGTGGAGTCTTCTGCAAAAGATTGGACTGTCACACCAACACCAGCATTTCCAACACCAACAATCCCAACACCAACAAACTCAACATCAACCAACCCACCACCAGTCCCAACACCAGCCCCAATAGAAGCCCTAAGAGCACCAACAAAAGCACCACAAACACAAGCCCCAACAGCACCACCAACACAAGCCCCATCCACAAAAGCAACCACAAGCACAAGAGCAACCAAGGTCACAAGAGCAGCTTCAGCCACAAGAACAGCCCCAACTACTAGATCAGCCACAGCTGCTATGCAACAAACAAGAAGGAGTTTTAGAATCAGGAGTGTTGGACAATCTTATCAACCTGTGCAAGCTATTAGAGCAAAAGACAGAGCAATGGTAAAAGCTATTATTTTCTCACATAAAGCATGATATCAGTTTATTAACTTATTTGTGTCTTTGCTTGTTTAGGCCAATAAAGGATTTGGTGTGATGGTCTCTGAGCAGACAGGAGACATTTATATGAGGGTATGCTTCATTGTCACCATATACTTTTCCTGTACCAATTGCAGTGCATATTTCAGATATTAACTTAATTTGTTTTGTCCCACAAATTCTTAATCAGATGCCAGGGCAAAATAGAGCTCACTTTGTACCTAACAGAAGAGCAGGATCATCACCTGGACAAAAGAAACAAACATCCAAGAATTGCCCAAGAGATCAGGGGACACAAGAGTGTGTGTGTAATTTTAACCCTTGTTAGTTGTCATGGATGTATATTGTTGTTTGGGTTTTGGGGGATGTATGTTGTGAACTACTGTGTTTTTTCATGTTTTCTGGTTTGATGTGGGATTGGAGCTGTAGCTGTTAGCAATGTATTATCTAAATTTGGATTTGGATTTGGATTTGATGTTTTGGTTGTGGAATATGGATTGGATATGACTTTTGATTTTATAAGGATGGCAACAAGACTTTTGTTTTTAACATGGCTTCAGTTGGTGTTTGTTGAGGTTGTTTGGTATTTAAGATGCTTGTGCATATTGTTATGTGCTGATTATTGAATGTACCACATTTGTTTGGCTTATAGGATTTTTGTGCATATGACACCAACATACACTAAAATGAACTTACACAAAAACATAAACTGATTCAATATAAAATTTCATTAACAATCGAAATGAAGTTACAAAAAGGCAGCATACACTTAAATTCAGATAACAACATACATTGCAATTTGCTTATCAAAAGGTTGTCCTACACCAAGTTCATCATAATTGGTTCTATTGGACAAGTCTTGTACAAAAGGTTGTCAACCATTTTCCTCTTTACCAAAGAACAAAAGCAAAACAACAAATAACACAACTGACACACACACAATAGGATATCTGAATTTGTTTCTCTTGGACAAGACTTGTACTTGCTCCTCCAACTCATTTACTTTGGATTTAAGATACAATAGTTCATCTTCCTTCATTTTCAGCCTCTCAACCAATGCTACTTCAGTAACATCTCTGCATTTTAATTGCTCCTCCAATAATGCCTTCTCAGCCTTCAGTTTCAGAAAACATGATTTCTGAAATGGTCCAAGCTCCGGATCAACCCAAGAAAAGTATGTACATGCATTCTTATACAGATAAGCAAAGATTAGAATTAGAACAAAACACAATAACTGAAAAACCATAAAACTAAGGCAAAAATTTTTAATTTTCATCTCATATGATAAACTGAAATTTCAAATTCCACTCGTTTTTTCTGTGTTCATTTCATCAAATTGAACTCGTCATTTGAAATTGAACTCAGCATTTCATATCAGAACGGCCACGCATGAAATTACAAAAATAAAGCCAAATTGCACTCACAGCGGCACGATTGTAGTCATATCGGCACGAAACTGAATAAAAAACAAAATTGCAAAACAAAATCGAAGTCACCTGTATGTTGCGGCAACGTCGGAAACGACGACAAGGATTGAGGTCGGTATTTGACGTGAATATAACTGCTTCGTCTCCATGGAAACATACTGATTTCAATCTCCTTGAATCTGAGCTAGAAGATGACGACATTTCGGGGTGAATTGAGGTCAATTAGGGTTAGGGCATGTGATGAATTTGGGGAGAATAAACGATTGTGGTGAATTTGGGGAAGAAACATCTTTTATACTAGGGTTATTGCCACCTGGACGCTGACTCGGATGCCCGTTTGGTGTTTCCGTCAAGTTAAATTGCCACATCACACTTTCGTTGACGGCAGTTAGAAGTATGTATCGGGTTGCCAAAATTGTAACGGTCATGTATTTTTCTGACAAGGTTTGAAGGTCGTGATTAAATTGCCAAACGCGTAAAGGTCGTGTTAATTCCCGCCATTTTGCCTTTTTTAACAAAATGGAATTTATCAGTCGGAACTAATTATTCCAAGTTGACGAATTTATCGGAATCGAGATATTCTGAGAAATCGCCCAAGTCAAGTCGTGAACGGAATCGAGTATATTCGGTCACGAGCCTCGCGCCTAGTAGCTGCGCCCATGCATTTCTCAAGCTCTAGTAGTGCCAAGTCTTTCCCAAGTATAGCCGAGCCTTACTAGTAAATTCTTAGAATTTTTCCAAGTGTTAGTTCGCTTGGGCCCGCCATCGTGCACGTTTAGCACGCCCAGCACGCGCACAGGCAACCCAGCGCACGATAAGCCACGAATCCGCGCCTTGAATCGCTGATAGGTGTTTCTCTAGTCACAACTGCGCCTATTGAAACGAATAAAATTGCAATAGAAATATAGAAGAAATCTAAGACAAAGTGTTTGAACAAAAGTTTGGATTTTTATTGATAAACTGAATGATGAAAAATAACATGGGGAAGGGGCCTTTATATAGGCACAAAATATATCTAGTCGTAATCTACCAAGGGAACTAATAAAGCAATAAAATATTAAGAGTCCTAAACAATGTAGATATTATAATGGAATAAGAAAACCAAATAGCTAGGGGATCCAATGCCTTGGCTTGCAATCCAAGTAGTCTTGTCTTGCACTCCACTCCAAACTCCTAGCCGCCTCAACCTCTCGCCGCCTAGGACTTCTCCACCGCCCACGTGCCTTTGCCTTAGTCCTCGAGGACTAGGGTCGCACCTTCTACGCCCGCCTATCCTCTTGCCTCGAGGATTAAGGTCTCGCGCCACGCGTGCGCCATTTCTATTCCTTGAAGGATCATGCTTCGGGCCCGCATCCACTTTGCCTATACCTACTAAAAATATGCTCCCGGCTACGTTGCCTGATCTTCTGAGGATTACTCCCGTCACCGATCTTTCAGGAGCGTTCCGGCACTCAGCTGCTTTTCCTAGTCCTGCGGAGTCTAGTATTCGCGCCTTGCCTATGCCTATGAGGACTAGGATTGCTGCCCTGGTCTTGCCTCGCCCTTCGAGTGTGCACGCGATCGAACGCTTCGCCTGCGTGACCAACTCGTGCGTGTCGCCCAACGCCCCGCGCACAGTGCCTTGCTCTTTCACGAGCTGTGCCGCGCTCGTCGCCGCTCGCGCCTTCGCTCGCTCGAGGTCGTCCCATGTGCGTGCTATCCACCCCTCGCACACTGCTCGTCTCCTCAGTAATGTAAACGCCCGGGGCCTTAGCATCCAAGCGTCGTGCGCGTTGCTCCCTCGCGCACGCCTTGCTCCATTCGACCGCGTCGCCTGAGCCCACTATCGTACACTCGACCCCCGTACACTGCGCGTAGTCCTCCCTCAAGTGCCCTATGCCTTGCACCTAGCATGCGCACTGCCCGTAGTGCGATGCTCGTGCTCGTCTCCTCGAACGTCGACCAACTGCTCGATCTACTAGCGCGTCGATCCGCTGCAGCTTCGACCCTCCCGCATTCGGCCGTGCTAGCGTCGACCTCGACCCTTCAAGCCTCGATCTTTCGGGCTTCTTGCTTGACCTCCTTATCGTGGTAGACCCTTGTATGCTTGACCTCCTATGCCATTGTGCACGTCGGCACCGTCGTATAAGGGCTCATGCATGTCTCCTAGGACATGCAAGCCTTGTTACGGCCCTTTACTCGGCCTTCTTAGATAGTGTCGGCCTTCGGCCCTTCTCACTTTCGGGGGTCGAAACTCACTTACGCATCATTCCCGCCCCCTTTAAGAATGTTCTTGTCCTCAAGGACTCATCATCGACCCTCAACCAAGTTACCTCCTTGTCAAGTTTCACCTCGACCACTAAGTGCGCAATTTCTTCCACAACCTCTGAAACCTCTAGCACACCTTCTTCATCCTCTTTCTGAACCTCGCCGACCACTTCATCTCCTTTAGACTCAACCCAAGTTACTTCACCTCGACATAGTGTTCATCGGGGTACTCATCGAAAATAGGTGGTCCTTTATAATCCGTCAACTCGTACTCGTACTTCATGGCCGTTGAGTTTTTAAAATAATTCGAGAATTCAAATAGAAAGATAGGCTTTTTACACTTTCCGTTGACCTGGCCTTCTCCTCTGCCGAACGCACCTAGTATGCGGTCGGGTGCCCTAACCAACTCGCATATCTTGGACTGCTACTGCTTGATCGTCCAAACCTCGTGCACCTCCCCTTCGACCGCAGTTGCCTCGACCTCGGTTGCCTCGACCTCGGCTTTCTCGACTACTTCGACGTCCATGGGTTCATCCTTGGGGTACACATCAAAGATAGGCGGGCCATCATAATCCGTCGAGACTTTTGCGACCTCTCTGAAGTATTCATCGAACAGAGGGGGATCCTTGTATTCGACCGTGCCCGCGTGTGCTCCTGTCTCCTCGACGGTGAAGATTTGGCCGCCCGCATGCCAAACCCGCTCTATACTCTTGAGACCAACCTCGGTCCCACCGTCCTTGCTTGCCTTTAACGTGACCCGGTGCTCTCCTGAGTGGAACTCCATGACTCCCATCCGGTAGTTGGTGGTCACTTTGCCTAATCCCTCGAGCCATTGTACTCCTAACACAACCTCAGGTCCAACCAAGGGTAGCGCATAGAGATCGGCTTTGATGGTGACTCCTTGAAATTTGATCGGCACCCCGCGATAAGACTCGGTGCACCTTAGCCGTTCGCCATTGGCTACTAGGACCTCGAATGGCTCAACTTTCGACGTTGGCAACTTCAACTTCTGAGACAGCGTGGCGTTGATGAAGTTGTGTGACGACCCATTGTCCACGAGCACGACTACACGATGGTCCTTGACCAACGCTGATAGCCGCATCGTCCTCGGTCCTCGAGTACCAGCCATTGCATGCATCGAGATCTCAACCTCTTCCTCGAACACCGCGTCCTCGATCTCATTCTCTTCGTGATCATCGATCACGGGTTCTTCTTCTTCGAAGTCAACGAATTCTATCACAAAGGCTTGATTGCATCGGTGGCCTGGTGTAAACTTTTCTTCGCACTTGTCGCAAAGCCCCTTCTCACGCCGGCGCCATATCTCCTCGAGCGACAAGTGCTTGACTTCTGGTACCGGTGGTCGCACGCTATTGGTCGGTCGAGAGCTATCAGGCAGTCGGCTGCTCGGAACCATATTGCTTGCATCCGGTTGTGCGCGTCGCATCTCGGGGTAGCGTGCGTCCGCCCGTCCCCTTCGAGTTGCCACAAGATGATCTTCTTGGCGTCGAGCAACCTCCATGGCGGCATGCATTGTCTCGAGACGCTCTAAGCGCACCTCAGCAGCTAGATCAAACTTTAGGCCTCCTATGAAAGCCCCTACTAACGCGGTCTCGGGCCAACCTCTTACTCGACAAGCTAAACACTCAAATTCTTTTAAATAATCATGTAAGCTACTTGTTTGCTTATTCGCGTGAGAGCCTCGCCGTAGTTGTGGTAGTCAGATGTTCCGAAACGCGTGAGTAACTCGCGCTCGAAATTGTCCCACCTGATGACTTGTTGTCGGTTGCGATAGACGCTCGTGAGCCATTGCCACCACACGTTTGCCTCGCCATCTAAGTAGTAGGCCGCGTATCACACCCGCTCATTCCCCTCGGTTTCATGGAGCTCGAAGTACTGCATAGTCCGATTGAGCCATGCGTCGGGGTAGTTGCCGGTAAAGGTGGACAGTGTGATCCTCGGCTTCTCGGGCTTCGGGCGATCGCGATAGATGGACGCCTGGGACTGCCGGTCGAAGTCGTCCTCCTCATGCTCACGCTCACGCTCCTTACTCCGCCGCTCCTCCTCCTCGAGCCACTCGCGCTCTTGTTGCCGTGGTGGTTGGCGTTCATGTTGTTGGAAAATTCGAGCCATCTCATCGAACCTTCGGTTAATGATCTCCATCAATTCACGAACAGACGCCTTTGTAGTATCGAGACCCTCACCTAGGGTATCCATAGCCTCGCTCATACTTCGGACTTGCACGTCTAGATTGTCGTGCTTATCCTTCATCTCCTTGTTGGCCATGGCTTTCTTCTCTTGCTTTTGCTCATTGCTTCTAGGACTCGTGTTGAAGAGATTTTTTTTTTT